ATGAATTGCTGTATTCCTAGTATTTGAACTGTCATTGAAAACTTTCTCTCCTAGCAAGGACTTTGAAAAATACTGGAAGTTGGTATGTCAGTTGAGAAGCTCCAGCTCAAAGGGATTTATGCTTAGAAGCATTAACTCAGGCAAGACAACTTGGAAATTCTAAGCAACCCCACGCATCCACTGGTTAGCGACCCTGCCACTTGTGTTCCAAGCTAATAGCCCTAAACTTCCTCCCTCACGGGAACCTGAATTTCAGGTTTGTGATACGATACAACTTTTTTTTTTTGTTTCATTTTGTGTTTTAACTTCAAAGCGAAAATGCTTTACAGCGGAGCCAACTACAACACCTGGGTGAGAGGTCCAGGTAACAGATTCACCAGCGTGTAGTTAGGCAAAGCGGATGAAGACAGCCCTCACTCCCGCAGATCGCCACCCAAGTGCCAGGAAGGCTCTCATCCTCACGTTGAGTGCCAGAAACTTCTTTTGGATTCCAACTTTTGTTCCTTTCTTGGTTTTCTGCCACACATCGGCCTGCCTCTTCTCTCTACCTCCTCCCATGGTTAACTCTCCCTGTACTGATGCACAAGGCATACGTCCCTTGCTGTACTTGTGGGCAAATCCATCTCGCACTCTGGATGGTGGGAGACAGTGCTCCCTGCCAAGGACAGGTGCCAGGCGGGGTCTCTGCAACAGGTACCCAAGAACGAGTGAGTTCACACAACAACAAAGAGAGGATAGAGATGGAAGGCTAAACACAGCGCTCATGTGCATCAAGCTCCCTGGTTTACCAAACATGTCCACATTTGCACAACATCCTGATAACACAGGTGTAGACACAAAGGTGCTGAAACAGGAAGTGAATTCTCATATCCACCCAGGCAGGAAAAGGGCAGATACACCACCTGACTTCTATGCTTCCCTCCACATTGCCCAGGGGGTAAAAAACAAACAAAAATCCTTTCCAACACAGTGAAAATAAAAGTTTATGATATTTAAAAGATGCATTGGAGTCCTTCCTCCCCTAAAAATTACTTTCTGCTAAACCTTCTATTGGCTGGTTAAAAGAAAGAAAAATTAGTAGTTAAACATTCAAATAAAAAGATATTTAGTTCTCAGGAAAAAATGAGCTAAAAGATGGGTTTTTGGTGTAGAACATTTTGAACTGCTTTTTCAGAATGCCCCTGCCATTTATTTATTTATTTATTATTTTCCTTTTTCAAGATCTGATTTGAAAGGCAGAGTGACAGAGGCAGCTCTTGCAACTGCTGGCTTGCTCCTTACTTATGTTTGCAACAATCATTGCTGAGCCAGGCCAAAACCAAAAGGGGCCTGGAACTCTACCCAGGCATTGCCTGTGGACAGCACAGGCCCAAGGACTTGGGCCATCATCCACCACCTTCGCCAGGCACTTTAGTAGGAAATGGGATAGGCAAATGGAACAGCCAGGGCTCAAACCAGCACACCACTGTGGAATGCTGGTGTCACTAGCAGTGGCTTAACCCAATGCCCTACAACGGCAGTCCCCCAGAACCATCCTGTGGACCCTGAATTGGCCTGAATTGTTCCTCTTCGCAGACAGGGACCTTCTCCTTAGCACAACATCTCCCCAGGTGCCTGTAATATTGACTCAGACATGGGAGGAGCCCTGTAGATATCCCTGAATCAACAAAACCCAACCCCGAAGCATCTGACGGGGAACTGGGAGCACCAGGCTATGTGCAAGATGCAGGGGCCCCAGCAATTACCTCCCAGGTGCCAGCAACAAGCTCCCCAGTTCCCAAGGACAAGCCCCGTCTATCCTGCTTCCAGGTTCAGCCCCACCTGCAGCAGCTGCCCATGTTCCTGCAGGGCCATCTCCTTCCCAAGACCCTCATCAAGGCTAACAGAGTAAGAGCAGAAGGGAGACCCCCTGACTCTACCCACGACCCAGAAGCCAGGAAGGGGCTTGTTTACAAGGACCATCTCCGAATGTCATGCTCTGAGTAGTGGCTGCTATAGGCAAGAAGTAGAAGTGAAGACATACAGGGAAGGAAAGGGAACTCTCCTGAGCCTTGGGGACTAGACTGCCCCAAAGCCTGAGAAAGGTGAGGCTTTTTCTCCCCCAGGGTGAGTAAAGTCTGGACTTGAGGTGAGGTGTGATGTGCAGGGACCACATTTGGCCCTGTCCTTCCCGGGGAGTGGGTAAGTTGGCCCAAGCTCTGGCAACTTTTATTTCTGCATCCTGGGCATCCATGAGCTTGCTCATGTCAGCTCTCCTGATCAGCTCCCAGAGAGACACAAGCACATGGCCTCATCCCTCAGGAACAGCTGCCAAGGCGCCCAGGGCTGTGCCTGTCACAATCCCCTGAGACCCCAGGCCCTAGGGTTCTCAGGCACCCTCAGGGCCCTGTCCCCTTACACAGTGGGAAAATCTCCTTGGTCTCCTTCCCTAAGCCCCAGTTCCCAGTGGTGATGTGGGAGATGGCAGATGATGAATCAACAAATAATGCGGGGACAGTGCTGTGCACAGCCTAGCAGACACGCAGCTCTCACGAGCACGAGGGCCAGCTAGTCGCCTCCCCGGGACACGGCCTTTGGTGTTCCGCTCATGACCAAAACAGCAGCAGCTGCTGCCAAGACAGACAAGGTGACCCAGAGGCATGGGCACCAAATCCAGGGATGGAAATGCGTTTTGTTTGCATCTCCCCCAAGCAGGTGGGAAAAGATGCAAAATAAGACCTTCTCCAGCCAGGGAGACACATTCTGGAGCTAATCAAGCCAGGAAAAATCACTCTCCTACCCCTCCCCAGTAGGCCAGAGGATGGGGGAGGGGGAGAAAGCATTGGCTGACTTCATTCAAGTAGCCAAAGGGGTCACCGGCCTCCTGCCACATCATGAAACTTTGGAAAAGGCAGGCCCTCACTGTCTCACCAACAAGGAAAATAAGGCCTGGAAAAAAAAAAAGAACCCCCTTTCTGGCAGACACCCACCCCAGCTCACAGGACCCCAGCATTCCACTAGGAGCAAGTTTAGAGCCTCCCAAGGAAGACCACGGTGGCACAGGTTGGCAGATACTGCAAGTTTATTTGGCCCAAGCCCTGTCCTCTCTGAGCTGGCCTGCTCAACTCCTTAACGAGATCACCTCAATCCCAGCTGCCTTCTCTATTTTCCAGGAGCGACTTTCTCCTTTGGAGGGCCCAATAAAACCAGACCACGAGGGCTTTGTAAACTGTGCAACGTTTTCCACAGCTTTCCAATGCTTTCCCACTATGATCCCTCCCCCATTGTGTCCATGCATAAAGCACGTGTCCTCAATGCACCCAGGGAACACACAAGGCACACAGCTGTGACAGGCTCTCTCACCGCAAAGACGAGCAGGTCAGGACACCCGTCCTACCTTCAGGGCGCCCACCCAAGGACTTAAAAAAAAAAATCACACATCAAAGAGATATGACCAGGCCCCAAGTTTCCAAGCGCTCTTAACCACACCACAGCACCTCCTGTGAAACCCACGCTGGCTTCCCCACCGCTCATCTAGAGTCCTTCCTCTATACAAGCAACTCTCTGCTCCATCTAGCTCGTTAAAGAAGGGGGGAAAAAGAAACTCAGTATTTCTTAAGGCAGCCCTGCCACCATCTGCACCATTTATTTTGCAGGGAAGGCCTGCCCCCAGCTCACAGATGTTGCTTTGTGCCCGCCTGCCACAGCTGGCAGCCCTTGCACAGCTGCCCCAGCAGGTGGCCAAGGATGGAGTCCACCCCTGCCCAGAAGCGAGGCTGACAATGCTAAGAGACCACTCCTCATTCCTCTGCAGCCTCGGACACCCCCAAAGGCGCCCGATCGCACGCGCACAAGTAAGCTTTATCCCTTGATTCAGAAGCTGACTTCAAAGAAGAGAAGTTAGAGACCCAGGCCCCCTCCCCCTCGGGGGGTTGGAAGGGAAGCGCTCCGCTCACCACTACTCCCAATTCCCCAGCAGGTACAGCTGAGCTCTGGAAGGCTCTGAGATATGCACAAGTCACTGACCCTACTGTATCAGCCATCTGTGAGCTCCCGCCAGACCCGGCTAGCCCGACGCGGGCATAAAGGAGGTCCCGACAGATGGCAAAGCGCTTTCAGAGTGCGGGCTCTATAGGAATGTGAGGGCGGCCGGGAGGCCCACTCTGGGGTGGGTTTTTTCTGAGGCACTCCGGCCCCGCTCTGTTCCCGCGTTCACCTGCAATGTCTGGGACTAGAAGAGGGACACACACAGGGTGACGTATGGGGAGAGGGGAGTTGCGTGGGTGGGAGAAGGCCTCCCAACACACACACCCGTGTCCTGCCACTTGTATGTCCCGATTCCAAGTCACAGCACTGCGCAGCAACTGAAGTGCGTGCGTGCAAAGGGGGTGGGGGTGGCGGGAGCCTGGCACCACCCGGTCTAAAAATACTCGATAAAAATGCTAATCCTGAAGGCAAAGAAAGAACCAAGAAGGAATCTGTCCATCACGCGCGGCTCCGGCTGCGCACCCACCACCCCAGCTGTACCGACTGCATTCCAGCAGAGGCGGAAAGACGCGGGGAGGAGAGCTGGGGGGTGGGGGGGGCGGGGAGGGGAGAGGACCGGATCGCAGCGAAGAATGGCAGCGACACCTCGGCGGGCGAGCGCGGGCCGCGGGGGCGGGAGGCGCTGGCGGGGGAGGGGCTCCGGCCGGCGGAGCCGAACAAAGCCTCAACTTCTACTCCGCAGCTCCCCGGAGGTGGGGGGGGGGGCAATCCCAGCAGCACCCCCTCCCTGTCCCCCCAACTCTTTCCGGGAGGTGGAAAACGAAGGTGCGGTCTGGAAGCGAAGAGTGCCGCGTGGAAGCCTTGCGCTCCCAGCAAAGGTTTTGTTTGGGGGTCCTCCTCCGCACCTCCACCTCTTTTCCTTTCCCGGGCGTGCTCGCGATCCCCACCCGCGATCCCCGGGTCGCCAACCCTGCTTGGGTCGCCACGGCCGCGCCATGGGAGCCTGGGCCCGGCGCGCCCCCCTGGACCCCCACCTGGGGATGGTGATGCACTTGGTGTTGACGTTCTGCGTGGTGATGGCCTTCTCCAGCTCATCCAGCTGTCCCGTCTTCTTCAGCTTCTTGACCAAGCTCTTGACCGCCTTCTCGCACCACTTCTCCTCCTGCCCGTTCTGTTCACCCTTCTTCCAGCCCAGCAGGCGTTTCACGATCGGTGGGGTGAAAGGCAGGATGGACGACATGGCTGGGGAGGGCACGAGGACAGCGAGGAGGCGCCCCTGGCGGGGCAAGACTCGGCAGGACACCGAGGGGCGCAAAGCCGGGAGCGCGAGCGAAGCCGGCTGCGGCCGCCCCAAACTTCGCCTCAACTCGGGCCAACTTGCCCCCTGGCGCCGGGCGCCAGGCCGCGGCGCTGCAAGCCTGCTGGGGCTCGACGCGCGGCCTCTGCGCGCTGAGCGGCTCTCACGGGCTGGAGAAGGACGATCCGGCGGACGAGCTAGGCGGGCGGCAGTGGCGCTGGATCGGGGAAGGCCCCGGGCGTGGGGTGGAGGCGGAGGCCGCGAGGCTCGCAGTGGCAACAGAAAGTTTGGGTTTCCGCACGGGGTAGCTGTTTGGGTGCCGCCTCCGAGAAGGAAAGTCCAACCCCCAGCCAAACTTTGCTCGCCTCGCTCGCTTTGATGCGCAGATCCCTCCGCCTCTGCGGCCTCGCCTCCCCGACTCCCCCCTTCTGCTCCTTCTCCTCCTCCTCCTCCTCCTTCTCCCGGCGCGCTCGCTCCCTCGTTCGTTCTCGTTCGCTGGCTCGTTGGGCCGGCCCGGGGCGTGCGCCGCGCTCCCGCCCGCTCCCAGTCTATGTTTCATGCAAATCCCCGCGCAGCCGGCCTGCCAGGCTCTGTCACCGCCCCCTCGCCACCGGGGCTCCCCGCCTCCTCCCCCGCGCCCTGTCGCCTCCTCCCGCCCCGGGCGTCCTGCCCGGCCCTGCTCGGCTGAGGGCGCTCGGCCTTCCCCCCACCCCCGACGTCCCAACCCACCCACCGCCCACCGCCCCGCACCAAGCGCTCCCACGTGGGCGACCCGATGCGGCCACGGGCCTGGCGGGGCTGGAGCGCGCGGTACCCAGCTCTGGCCAGGCCCGAAGTGGGAACGGGCTGGAAGAGGAAGTCGAGGGGAACAACCGGCCACAGAGGCCACAGGCTCTGGAGGCACCGAGCTCGGTTACAGTCGCGGGTTGGACGGGGTTAAGGCTCAGAGCAAGGGAGCTGCCGTCCGACCCTGTAGGGACCCGGGGCTGGAGGCCCTGTGGTTAGGAGCCTTGGCAGCTCCGACGCCCCGGGGGCTGCTTTCGTTTTCTTGTGTCGGTGAGCTCGACTGTGTGCGGAGGAGGAGCAGCGAGAGGGGAAAGAGGGGGGGATCCCACACTCGGGTGACAACTGGACCGTGCTGAAGCAGGGAGCGTCCCTGGAGCCTCGTGAACCAAGTGCTCCGCAGAAAAGGGGGCGTCGGTAGACATCTGTTGAGACCGTGAAGGAATGAATGGGGGGCGCTTTAGATGGAAAAGTTACGCTCCAGGGTGTTACCTAATCACAGAACGATGGGAAATTCGAAACCCAATAAATAGAAAAAGGGTTTTGTCTCTAAAGCAAAAAGCCATCCCCCCTCCCTTTCTTCCCCACCCCGCACACCAGCGGTGAGTGCTTGGGCAGAATTTGTACTCCGAGAGCCTGGGCGGGAAGCCTGGAGACCACGCCCCCAACTTGAGTAACGGGGGCGGGAGGGGGGGAGCCTATAGCTTTTCTCTCGTCTTCCTCCCTCTCCGCAGTAGAACCCTCTGGAGTTACCCCTGGGCTTTCTCTGACCAGGGCCTCCCCCTTCAGGCTACCCTGGTGTCTAAGGTCTTTGTTTGTTTTTAACAGCAGGAAACCCCCAGTGGTGAGAAAGAAGTTATCTACAAACCCTCAAGCTGGTGGGAAGTGACAAAGCCCTGTGAGGTGTGGCCCAATCCACAAAGTCAGCCCCAGAGCTGCAGGGGCCCCTGCCTGGCTCCAAGTAGGGGCCTGGGTCCTGGGCTGCCTGCTTGCCTGCTGCTGCTGCTGCTGCGAGCTAAATGCTCCAGGCCCTCCCCTCCTTTGACTCCATCCCTAGTGGAACTTGAAGGAAGGAGACCTGCCCCCCCCGCCCCCCAACCAAGCACCAGTCGCTGGGGCTTACAAGCCTCTGTCTGTGCCTGCTCCTTCGTAACCCACAGGGACAGGACAAATGGCAGTGGGCACACATACACTGCCTTGCTTCTTTCCAGGTGGCCAACACTGCTGCCTGCCGAGTTGACCTTCACCGTGGCCCTGAGAGGGGGAGATGTGACCTAGTTGGGATTTGAGCTCAGTGCCCAGCAAAGGGTCTGTTTTGCCAATTTGCCATGGCACCCAGCTGCCTCAGGGAGCTACAGCAGGCAAAATGACATCCTGGATGGGACTTTGGCAAGGGAGAGAGAGAGAGAGAGAGAGAGAGAGAGAGAGAGAGAGAGAGAGAACAACAACAACAAAGAAAGAAGGAAAGGAAGAGAAATTCTCGACTTAGCACACTAGGTGAAATGTTTGCTTCCTTGCAACCTGGGATTAGAAGTAGCTTCCCTGTCAGCCTCAGGGCGGGGCCCCAGGCCCCACTGCTAATGCGGTGAAGAGCAGTGGCCTTGAGAGAGCTGAACTGGACAGGCCTCGGTGGAGCACCTCCACCATGCAGCCCTCCCACGTGGCTCTGAGAACTCCAGGAGAGAAGATGAAGTTCCCTAGCTTTGAACTCATTGTGCAGATGGGGCACCCAGGAGGAGGAAGGGGGAGATGACAGCCACCACGTGCCAACCAGTGGAACGCTCCTTTGAACCTGAATTTCCAAACAAGCAAGTCCAGCTGTCAAGAGGCAGCCAAAGAAAGTAAAGCGAACCGCAGGCTGCATCTGCACTGGCCCTGGCTCTTTCCCTCACCCTCAGGGCATCCCATGCTTTCTCTGACACCGGTGCATCCTGAAAAAAAAAAAAAAACGCTATATTTTTTCTGACGCCAGCCCTGCATTGTACACAGAAAGGGTCATCTAGTGAAGGGGCCAACGTGGATTATGCGGGAGGTAGGTAGCCCAAGAAAGATTGGAGGATTCAGTGTAGTGAAAGGGCTGGTGTTGTGGCATAGCGAGGTTAAGCTGCATCTTGAAACACCGCCATCCCATATGGGTGTCAGTTCAAGTCCCTGCTGCTCTATTTCTCATCCAGCTTCCTGCTGGTGGCCTGAAAAAGCAGGAGAGGATGGCTCAAGTGCTTGGGCCCCTGCCACCCAACATGGGAGACCCAGAAATAACATCTTTTCTTGGCTTCCTCCTGGCTCAGCCCCAGCCATTGCAGCTGTTCAGGGAGTGGACCAGAAGATGGAAGATCCCCCTCTCCCTTTTAAATAAATACATACATAAATAAATCTTATTATTTGGAAAAAATGCAGTGCAAAGGGCAAGGTCTGTTCACTTTTCCTGGAGAAGCAGCGGCCGGCACTAAGTGTAATGCATGCCTGCTTTCCCAGGCTTCCTTCCCGTGTTGGTCTGCAGGGAGTAAAACAGTGCCCAACCCCATGCATGAGTTTATCAAGTGCTGTTTCTGGGCTGATTCTGCTTCCTCTGGTCTCAGTCCTTCTATACGAAGAGCTGGGGGAATTAAACCCAGGGTCAGCCAGCCCCCAGGAAGGAGCAGAGTGTGCAAGACCCCACCTGCCGTCTGGACTTTGGATGGGGAGTGGGTGGACAGTTCCAAACGGCTCCTGCTCTGCTGTCCTGCAGCCCAGCTGGACCTGCTTGCACAGCGGTTATCCTTGGAAGAGAGGCCTTAGCTCAGGCAGTTCTGCATCATGATGAGTGCAAAGTTCAGAACAGGTGGCATGGGGTGGGGCGGGATGGGGCCTGGCTTCCTGTCAGGGACCAGCCTCATAAACAGGATTGGCCAGAGGGTTTTCCTGTACTCATGAGTGGCTCCCACGTGAAAGGCTGGGAAGGAACAACTCCTGATTTCCATTTGGACTCTTTTCTCATCCATTGAGCCACACATGGGATTTCTAGAAGGAGCACAGAGGTTGCTCTGTCTTCAGTGTCCACAGAAACCACCATCTCTTAAAGGGAAGTGGCTTGCACTGTACAGGGCAGGACCAGAACCTGCCTGCGAGTGCTTCTGCCAGAGAGAGATCCTCCATCCACCATCAGGTGACAGATGTAGCTTGGGAGGCCCCTTGCACATGGGGGCTGTCCTGCAGCACCATACGGACTTGGGTTGGACTTCCAGCTCTGCTGCTGAGCAGGTGCCTGCACTTTTTTGTGTGTCTATTTCCTCATCCATACAGTGTGCATGCTAATCAACCTGCTTCATAGGACTGCTGCCTGACAAACAAGCTGCATGGAGAGCTTGACAACACAAGCCTACAGTGTTTTCTCAATGTACTGGATATGGTTGCTGCTCACCACAGAAACCAATGCACATGTGAGCTACAAAGAGTTCTGTGTGCACTAAATAAACAGAGGAATGTTACAGACTGTCGAGAAGGAACATAGGAAGTCACAGAGCAGAATGAATACATAATATCTATGTTCCAGAATTACATATACACAAAACAGCTGTTTGCATTTTGAAATATGTCATGCAGACTAGAAGATACAGCTGAACTGCTGCACACATATTGGGATGACTATTGTTTTAAAAAAGGGGAGGGGACAAGTGTTGGAGGTAATGTGAAGATATTGGCACCCTCCCTCATGGGGCTGGCATGGAAGTACCCAGGACAAAGTCACTACTTGTGGTGCCAGCGTCCCACATTGGGGTGTTGCTTTGAGTCTCAGCAGCTCCACTTCTGATTGGCAGCCCCCTGCTAATGTGTCTGGGAAGGTAGTGGAGGACGGTCCAAATGCTTGGGCCCCTGCCACTCTGCCATCCAATCCTGGATGGAGTTCCTAGCTCCTGGCCTAGCCCTGGCTATTATGGCCATTTGGGAAGTAAACCAGTAGATGGAAGATTTCATTCTTACTCTCTCTGTCTCTCCCTTCCTCTCTGTCATTTTGCCTCTCAAATTAACATAAAATTTTTTGAAAATGAAAAGAAATGTGTACCTTTGCACATTGCTGATCAGAATGTGAATTGGTGCTGGCATGATGGGATGGTAGTGGCTTCAGACCACAGCATCAACTTGCCATGAGGCCCAGTGGTTCCACTCCTGGGTGTGTGAAAGCAACGACACAGAGAGCTGCTCCTTTATAGCAGCATTCTTCACAGTGGACAGTGTGTGTTCCCATATGAATGGATACGTACCATGTAGTTTACATACAGTGTAGTAGCAGTCATGATATGTGATGGGGTATGGGTGGACTTGAAGGCCTTGGTCGTGGAGAAGGAACAAGCCCCAAAAGGACAGTGTGCCTGACTCCACGCACACAGTACCTGAAGCAGAGTCTCAGAGTGTAAATGGTGTCTGCCTAGAAGGTTCAGGGAGAAAAATGAGGTATCGTGGTTTCAGGATTGCAAAAGCCAGGAGCCAGAAGTTTCATCAAGTTCTCCCATGTAGGTATAGGAGCCCAAGCACTTGTGTTGACTTGTGCTGCTTTCCCAGGAGCACTGGCAGGGAGCTGGATTGGAAGATGCGGCTGGGGCTCAAACTGGCAGAAGGAAGCAATGCTGAGGCTACACGTGGCAAGTGCCAGAACACTG